GGAAGGAAAGAAGACGTTGGGAACATTGGTTGGAGGAGAAAATCATCGAGTTCTTCATTCCTTCATCTTTCTTTTGTAATTTGTTTACGCAAAATACTTGAAAAGTTGTTACTACGAACATGAATGGCTAAGCACTCTAGTTTCTAGGGTTGTGGTTGACATGATTATTAACGTTTATTAATTACATCTTTGTTAATTCGGATTATCATCTTGTTGTTGTTTCTTTAATTCTAGTTTTAACTTGTGAATTGTTATAGCTACCAATTCACCGTACTATCTATGCTATGCTTGGGAAAGCCGTATTTAGAATAGAGTAGAATTAAATAGAGCTTGCTTTTGAACCCGTGGCTCGGAGAAAGGTTTCGTGGTTAGGAAAAGAATATACCTAATATTCTTGCTTAATTAAAAAAATCGTCTTATAGTTGTTCATGATAGACTCGCTACCATCGGAATATAGGATTAATATATTGTGGACAGGCAAGTAGTATTGTGGGAACATGCTATTCATATAAATGATCCGATTAATTAGCAACCATAGATAATCTGGATTAACGAGTGTGGTTATCGAACTCAATAGATTGATAAACCAACCACAACCCTAGAATTTTCATCTCCACTGAATTAAAATCTCATCATACACATTTTCATTCCTGATAAATTAGTTGTTACTTGTTTAATTTCTGCAATAGTAGTTTAATAGAAAAACATCACTCTCGGTTATCTTGGACAGTTAATTGATTTAGTTTGCTTAGTTAGCAATTGATATAAGTCTTTGTGGGTTCGACATCCGACTTTCGAGACACTTTATTACTTGACGAACGCATATACTTGCGTGTGCGTTTGGCCGCAACATCGTTTCCCTTTACTGCTGTAGTGTAAGTCATGATATGTTCCTGTGGATTCGAAGTCCCATCGTGTTTTTGTATATCCGGCATCTTAAACCTCTTTGGGATCAACTCTGGAGCCACACTCAGTTTAATGATAACTGTGTATACTTCTTGGAATCCAGTACCTTTAACACCGGCGATGCTCCTGGATATGATCCATCCGAGCATGAAATTCTTTGCATTCTGATCCATTCTTTCATTTATTTCTCTCATGAATCTCATGAGCTCGGTTTTGAAAGGGTCATTAAAGCTGTTGTTCCCAGATCCACTACCGGTACCTCCTACCTTTTCGAAATCGATCTCCTCCCTAGGAGTGTCATTGTCAATGCTTTGAACCGTTTCATTTGCGAGAATGCTGGGAGGAATCAGAGCCCTTCCAATTGAATTATTGGAAGCACCCGATAACGTGTACTTCAATTCTATCAACACCTGATCTTGCCTTGAGAGGTGTACATAATCGCTTTTTGTTGTTCTCTCAAGATTTTGACCGTTTCAACAATGTGTTCTTCATCCGTATCATTAGGAGTTGTGCCCCACATATGTTGAGGATACTGGCCTTCGCGAACTAGGGTTGCTTCATCTCCTTCGTTGCGGGTTTTGCAGGTTGAATCATCATGTTGGAACACATCTTCCCGTTCATTGTGTGCTCCAACATTGCAGATGATAGAATATAAGGGTCCACCAAACTCTATAAAGAACCAGGTTCTCTATCAGATTCAACAGTACACACATATGCGGTAGTAAATAAATGACAAGAGAAATTTTACGTGGAAAATTCCCAGCTCAACGAGATTGAAAACCACGACCTACCCTTCTAGGATTTCAACTTCACTACTGAGAAACTTTTAAATTACAACCTATGCTACCTAGGAATTAACCTCTTAATCCCTCACTAACTTGTAATACTTTATTACAAGCCACTTTGTAATAACTCTATTACAAAGACTTTACAACATGACTAACTCTAGCCAAGACTCAAACACACAGGTTTAAGGTTTACAAAGAGTTTCCTATAGAATGCTTCTAAACAAGCTAGGTAGGAATTACAATTGCACAACTATTACAAAGTTACTACTTAACTAAGGACATATAATGACTCGATGTGGGAACTGGTCCATAGTTACTTTGTTCTTTATTCTTGAAGCACTTGAAACTTGTTTGCTAGATGGTCACGTGAGTGAGCTTGAGTATAATCTCTAAGTTTTAAAGTGAATGTGTTTTACCTTCCTTGATTTTATATATACACGTGTGACATCACTTACAGTGATGTAAGCAAGGTAGGTAAAGAAGTCTTCCATAGAAAGTTGACTGATGCATTGTTCCTGCATTGTATCGTGTACAGGCAGCAACTTTCCAGCTGGAGAGTTCACTTCGTACAGTCTCCTCGGGAACTGGTAGGGACCTGTTCCCTCAGCTGTTCCTTCCACTCTGAAGAGTTGAATCATATCCCACGCTGAATCCCAACCTGGAACCTTGTGATCTTAAGGTCTTGTAAATGTGTAATAGGTTCCTTATCTGGTTCTGGATGGTAAGTTTGTTAGATCATCAAAACAAAGTAAAGTACTTATGACCAAAGTACTTGTAACCTATCAATTTCCCCCCTTTTGATGATGACAAACTCATAATTGAAAATCCCAGAAAGAGCCACATAGAACCAGAAAGACCTTAAGTTTCCCCCTGAATCTCTGCATTCCCCCTTAATCAGTATGATTATTTTCCCCCTTTTGGCATCATAAAAAGATCTGTTGCAGGCAATTAAGCAAGAAAGAAGTCTAGTTTTAAGTTAACTCATGCCACTTATGTGCACACATCCATGATTAAACATAGAGCATAAAAGAAAGGTATAAACAGCAACAAGGGAAAAGCTTGCATTAACATAATTTGGATTTTACAGCAGGAGCAGAGTCAATGTTACTACCATATCCACAAGAACAACCAACAAAAATACCACAAGTTATCATCAAAAGAACTAACACCGAGAGACGGGACCAGAAACTAGATTGAGGGGATAGAAATTAAGAAGCACTAGGAGGAGAAGGTTTGGAGGCAGAGGAAATTGTTTGGAGGACTAAATCCATTCGAGCATTTGCTAACATTTGCTCGTTGAGCAGTCTGTCTTTTAGGTCCTCCACTGGTTTCCTGAGCTCAGCATCTCTTTTGTCAGGCGAGCAACCTCTTCGCTTTGAGGGCAACCGGAACCAGGTGCCACTTGCAGCTGACTTATCTGAGTCTCAAGGATAGCATTCCTTGATTTCAATTGCCTTATCTCAGTAGTAGCAATGTTTTGACCATTTATTAACTGAGATATGGTAGAAGTGCTTGCAACCCCTCCAAATTTCTCTATACACTCATATTCTTTATGAGTGCCTTTTGAAAAAGTTTGCTTCTTGGCACCCACTTTAACTGGTCCGAGAGGAACCATGAAGTGCTCAAAGACCTTGGTAAGAAGGACCCATATGGCAGCCCATGGTTACCATCTTTAAAGTTTGCTACATTGTTCATGTGCTCTATCATGATCCCAGGCAGATTGATGGTAGTGAAATTGTCCAGTGCTTCAATTAGAAACAGGTCTGCATGAGAGGTGATGGATCTTCACTCAGCTCGAGGCAGCAACACTTTGTTTACATCTCAAATAGCAGTTGGTAAAGAGGAAGGAGGGCCTTCTTCTGAACCCGTTCCCCCTGTTGAACTGCTTTGTCCTTCAAGATTGTGTTTCTGAAGTACCGAGTACAAGCTCCCTGAACACTAGACAGCCCTTTAGTAGTCACACCAAGAATAGATCCCAGCAAGGCGGAGTCCATTACCATATCAACCCCATTCACCAAGGCACAAATGTGACCATCCTCAACCTTGTACAAGTCGGCATAAAACTTTGAACTTCCTCCTCATATACCCTAGCAGCATCACTTGTGAACAAGTGTGTCCATTGTTGGAAATCACAGATCTCAACCAACTGTCTCATACCAGCCTCCTCCAAGACATTAGAGGCAAACGTGCGTCCCCAAAGTACTTTTTGACTTCTCAATCTCTCTTTCCCAGCACTCCCCGGATTACCAACTTTGGCCTTCTTTGAGGAACCAGGTTCCTCATTAGTATCAACATTTCTCTTAGCAGTCTTCAAACACCTTTCTCCTTCTTATCAGACATTATAGATATTTCACCTGATTCTTTCTCCACATTCTCAGTAACAACAGCATCATCAGACCTAGTCAGACGTTTAGCAGACACAGAAGATCCCCCTTTTGACTTGAGAAGACCATGTTTTGTGATAACTTCCTAGTCAACGTACTAGGTTCCTCAGCTTCTTCTTCATCCACATTCACAACAGGCACTATCTTCTCATTTATAACTTTGCCATATTTCACTAATTTTCTTCTACTTGACTTACCTTGACTTTTCTTAAGAGCAGACTCAAGAGCCTCCTTCTTTTGCAACCTTGTTGTGGGTTGCTTAGGAGTTGGCTCTTTACCAACAACTACTATACGCCTAGGCAAACTGGAAATTGGTAAATCATTAAAATCTTCTTCACTATCCTCCTTTTGTTCATCAGACACAGGGCTTGCCTCAGGCATAATCACACTTAGAGGCTCAACATCTAAATAAGGAGAGGAAGCATGATCAGTACTGACCTGGGATTCTTGAAAAAGACCTAGAGTTGGATCCTCAGAAGGCAGATCAGGTCCTCCAGCAGGTTCCCCAATAGCACGTTCCTGTGTTGAAGGTTCAACAGGCACAAGTTCATTATCCTCTCCAATAGGCTCAGATGCTTCCCCCTGAGTCTTAAGGCCATCCTCTCTTCCTTCGACAAAAACCCCTTCATTGGCGATGGACAACAATATTTTCTATGGCTTCCTTTTCTTTTAGATCCATGAAAGACTCAGGAGAAGTAGGAGCGGTACCTGTGGACAAAGGATCAGGAGCAGTCTTTGTTGATTCAACGATTTCATTTCCCTTAGTCCGGTCTACCTTTGACCTTTTTTCTAAAGGAGAACTTGAAATTTCCCAATTTCTTCATTCTCAAAAATACTCGTTGCATCCCTCTTTTCTGTCGAGGTAAGAAAAGAGCTCTAGGCAACACCTCTTTGCCTGGAACTCGAATAGGTACGAGAGGAGATGGAGTGTGGGGGTGACTCTGTTCTAGGGTTTTGGTTATTGTATACGGTAAAATCAGAGGAGCCGATTTCATGGTCATTACGGTGCTCCATAGATACGCCTCCTAAGGCTCGAGGCAAGGCTCGAGATGCAATCTCGAAGGGTTCCCAAACGCTCGATGTGAGCATGTAATTTTTGCCTCGTTTAATTACTCCTATAAAATTCATTAGAATTAGGATTTTTCTTTTATTATTTGAATTTTAGGGAAATTAATTGCATAATTTCGTGTTTTGTTTGCATTTTGTGTGCATTATTAATTGATATAATTCATAAAAATACAAAATAGCACGCTTGCATTTAGGACCTCATTTCAGTATTTTTAGTCAATTAATATTACAAAAATGGAAGAAAATAATCAAAATAGCCTTTTTTTTTTTATATATTTTACCTTTAATTTTGATTTTTGTTTAATTCTCTTTTTAAATTAGGATCTAGTTAATATTAGAAAATTAATTAGTTTAATTTTTAGAGTTTAGATTAGGTCTTTGTTATTTTTAATTTTTGTATTCAACAAAATAAAAAATAATAATAACAATAAAGAATAAAAGAAAATAAAAGAAAAGGATTCAAAAATTAAAAGAAGAGGCCTGTTTATTGGGCCAGTCTTCAAATAAAAGACCAGCCCAGTCCGCCAACCCGGTCCAGCCCCCATCCCCTTCAAAACGACCCCGTTTCACTTAGGATAGATCCCAGCCGTCGAGGTTGTTTGATCTAACGGCTGGGAAGATAGGGTCATTTAGATATAAGAATGTCTGAACCACCCTACCCCCCCCCCCCCAAGCCTGTCTCCCTCACCTCATTCCCCATCAGAGACACCCCCACCGTCCCTCCGCCGTCCGCCGCCGGCCGGAAATCGCCTCCGCCGGCGGCAAGTCTCCAAATAACCCCAAAATTACACCCCTGCTTCCTCTCATCCTCATTATAGATCCAAGCCCAGTTTTTCTCAAACATCACCCAAACGTCTCGAATCTTTAAAACCCTAGGCGCCGCCTCCGCCGCACACGGCGGCGCCACCATCAAATCTCCCCAAAATCACACCCCATACTCTCCTCACCCCCCTCTTCCTAAACCCCTAATTGGTTTCCTCCAAATCCCACCGGAGCTTCTCGAATTTCAAATCGATAAGCGGTAGAACCCTAGAAGTTCAAATCATTTGAATTCTTCCCAACTTCTTGGGTCCATTGTTGGATTCGAGTCACGAAATAATAGTTTTCGTTTGTTCTTAAGAACAAACGTTTAACATTATTCCGAGGCTCGAATCAAAACCCAGCCCCTGCTCAAGCCTTACATCGGTAAGATTTCCTTTCTTTAATCTTTTGTTTGAATTCATTAATTTTAAATTAGTTTCGGATTAATCCATGCCTTATTTTTCTTTTTTTTCTTTTTTTTTTTATATCTTGGTGGCAACAATTAGTGTTCTATGAGTCAGGTTTTGTTATAAGGTCTTGATTATATTTTTGTTTGATTGACTGTTAGATTTTAATTCCACGTTTGTTGTTATTTTCTTTACATTTTTTTATTTTAATTTTGTTCATCTTTCTGTTTCTACAGTATAGTTTCATTTTCCCTTTACATTTTTATTACTTGGTTTTGTTCAGTATGGTTTTATGTTTGAATTGTCGAATTGCTCATGTTCAGTGATAAAAATAGTCTTAGGTTATAGTATTAATTAGGATTAATTTCCAGTTCTGACTAGAATTAGTTAGATTGCTTATTTCAATTTTAGGAATTGGTTTGGATATAGCTGAATACCCCCAGCCCTTGATTAATTAACCATGGTTAGTTTGGACTAAGATTAACAGGGTTGGGGGTTAGTTTGACTAGGTTGGTAATTTCAGAATAAATAAAAGGGTAGTTTAGGTACTTTAGACAAGAGAATCTTATAGTAACTGAAATTGGAAACCCCTAGAACCTTCTAGATGGGGTTCCAATTAGAATTTCAGAGACTTAGTAGTGTAACTTGGGCAACAAGCCAATAAATAAGGGACTAATTAGCTAAAAATTTGAAAATAAAAGAGGGGGCAAGGGTGCAAAAGGAAAATCTGAAGGTTGCCCTAAGTTTTGCCTGTAAAAAGGCATGCCCATTGCCTTATTGAACAAGTTTTAGAATCTGAAAAATCCCCACAAATTTCTAAAAGTTTTGGAGATCTGAAAATTCAAAAACAAGTTTCTAGAAGTCTAGTGAGATCAAATACTCAAAAACAATCCAAAAACAAATAGCCCTAGAAATACTGCAAAGTCCTGAAGCTTTCAGGCAGCCAAAAACTCAAAAATAATACTATTCCATTGCAGTTTTCTTAGGATAATTTTGTGTTCCAGCTGTTAGATCAAATTTCCAGTTTATATAAGGTTAAAAAATGGTTAGAAGTTCCTGGTAATGCAGTAGCTGAAGCTTCAGAAGTCCCTGGATTGATTTCTGAGTTCAAATTTGTTTATTCAAGCTATTTTTGGTTGTTTATTGGTGCTGTATCTCCACAATTAATCCCTGGGTTGCTGTGGTACCATTTTCGGTTCTGAAACTGGTTTGATTAGCTGCTGTGTGCTGCTGCTTTAGCTGATTTCCTCTTTTCTCTCATTTTGTCCAAATTCCAGGTACACACCATGTAGCCCTCAAGTTTGGAAATAACATGAAAAATGCTGGCTGAGTTCCTTGTTGATTTTCCCTGTTATATTTCTAGGAGATTCAGAATTTCAGTAGATCTTCATTTGTAACTGAAAACTGGACTGTTTGGGACTGTATAAGACGTTAAAACTGATTCCATTTCCTTCTCATGATCATATAAGCATTGCGTTCAGAAGTGTTAGATTCAAATTAGTTTGAGTTTGATGTTTATGTTGCCGTGTATTAGTTTGAAATCAGAAATTCAAAAGCACTGTGTTGATTCAAAATTAGTGTGTTAATTCGAAATCAGAAGTTAGCCATGGCTTTGCCTATGATCCTAATGTTAGAAGTCACTCGAATGAGCTAGAAATTTTAAGTCGTTTAAGCCTAGGAATGTAATGGCCCTGTTTGAATCTCATGTTATATTGTCTATTAATCAATCAGATTTACATGACTCATATTCTATTGCATACTTGTATGTGAGGTTTTATCTCAACTGCATATCATCAATTCTTCTTTCAAATTTTAAGTAATATTGCCAGTGAACCTGAAATTGAACCTTGACATTGTTTTGTAAATTGAATCTGAGTTCAAATGCAAGTCCAAATATAATAGTCAGCTTCACAGCTGAAACTTCATATACGAACAGCTTCATATTGGGCCTGGTTATGTTAATAATAGGCCTTGTTATAAAATAAATAGTGAGACTATGGGGGTCTCGATTCAGGCCCTTTTTGACTCTATTTCATCTTTCACTTGGGCCTGTGCAAAGACCCATGACTGGGTGAGTCCTTATAAAAATACCAAAATTTTGCAATATAATTTAGACCTGGAAGTTTAATTTTGCAATATAATTTTGGGCCTTCCAAGATAAGTAGCAAATTTTAATTAAGAGGTTTCCCTCTTGTTTAAATTTGGACTTGATCTTGAGCCCCGAATTCCTTGAATGCTTTTAATAGTTTATTAATAATGTTAACTAATTAGGCCTTTAGAGATAATCTACAATAGAGAATAATAGCCCCTTTAGGAAGGCCTTAAAAATAAATCGAGGTGCGCCGCGCCAAATAAAATCGTGAATCGCGTGGCCCTCTTTAATTACTTCATCAAAAATATTTAGAACTCGGGGCGTGCCATTTAGCGAATTTCCATGGCCTCCGGCAAAGTTAATAACACGTTAGTCGCTTTAGGCGTGTTCTTTAATAATTTTACCTTCCTAAACTCGGGTGTGCATTTCATGTGACCCAAATCCAAATCCCAAAACGTTGAATAAAATGTGTCGAAGATCTGGGTGCATTTCATGTGACGTGATCCGAAAACATATTTTAAACGACGTTCAATTTCCTAAAATTAATTAAATGCGGTAAATAATTTTAAAAATTGCAGTATAGGATGACATGTATTGAAATCAGATTTTTAGCCAATTATAATAGTTTAAGCGACCGTGCTAGAACCACGGGATCTGGGGGTGCCTAACACCTTCCCTCGGGTCAACAGAATTCCTTATTCAGAATTTTTGGTTCGCAGACTCCATTCGGGAAGTCAAAATTTTCCTCGATTTGGGATTCAAGATAAACCGGTGACTTGGGACACCAAAAGCCAAACCTATCCCAAGTGGCGACTCTGAAATAAATAAATAATCCCATTTCGAATAATATCACTTTAAATGGAAAAACTCCCTTATACACTATCCGTCGGGGTAGGTGTGTAAAAAAGGAGGTGTGACACTCGACTCCGGAGCAATGCAAATCGATAGCCATGATGGAGAAATGGAAAGATCCCTAGGCACTTGATTAAAGCTGACCAAGCCTATTAGGCTAGTACAAGCCCGTACTGTGGCATTAAATGGCTGTACCAGCCCCATATCTTTGTAATAAATGCATGTTTATACCCAATTTTTCCTATATGTTTTCAATATTCAAACTACTTTCAAAATAGCATATGTATGCATATATAAGTATGTCCAATTGTCTATTAATTTTTAAGGATTTTGTAAACCAATTTATTCCCCTATTTTTTCATAAAAAACCCAATAGTATTTCCAAAATCATCATTTTGGTAATTAATTTATTGGATTTGCATATTCATGCCAAAATATAGCTAAAATAATTTTTGTACATTTTTACAAATTTATTTAGTATTTTTTAAGGCTAATTGCATATAATTGCAATATTAGCCTCTTTCGGATTTAATTACGTTTATATCTATAAAAATTAAGTTCAGTATTTTTAATTTGATAATTATGTACTATAAATCATTTTAGTACCTTTAATTTATTTACAGAAATTATTTTATTATTTTTTATAAATCAAATAGAAAAATTGGCTATCTAAATGTTAGCCCCATTTTATTTCAATTATAGCCTGATTTTGAACCCCAATTTGAATCCCAATTACCCCGACCCAATTGCAATCTGAACCGACCCAAACCCTATTCTATTAAACCGCCCCATTTACCCGTTCAATCCAGGCCGTTGATCAAAATGATCAACGGCCACCATTACTCCTTTCCTAATTAAACCCAAAGACCCCCCAAACCCTTTTCATTCATCATAATCCACCGCCCCTGAATTCCCCTCGTCTCCCAAATCCTCTCTACACCACCCTCAAACCCTAACTGTTTCCACCCCACTCCGCCTTAACCTATGGCCTTCCAAGGTCATCAGAGACTTACGCCGGCCTTCCATGGCCCCTTTGTGTTTGTTCTTATGATTTCAAGGCCAGACCATGAAGAACTCTGGTCCAGCCTTTGGTCGATTTTGGTTCATGGCTGATCTCCGGTCATCTGTGGCATTCCTCCGGCCAGCTATGACCGTCGAGTCAGACCTTTGACTCTTCTGCTTAGATCAATGGCTTTCGAGGCCTTTCTCATCATTTGGGGTTCTTCTGAAACCCTAAGCTCTAAGGTTCTCTCGATTTCTTTTAGTTCTGCTTCAGGTCTATGTTTGCTTTGAACTTCTAAATGTTTTTCTCGAAGTTTCTTTTAAGACTCTGCTTCCAAAACTCTTTATCTTTTAGGGTTTTCTTGTTAAGTTATTTCGAAACTATCTCAAAATTTTTTTAACATGTTCTGCTATATTTGCTCGTATTGTTCCCCTCTCTGAGTTTACATGATAAAAACCCTAAGGTCTTCTGAGTTTTCTTAGTCCATTTGTATTATCTGTTTGATTTACTTGGTTATTATCTCTAGGCTCGATTGGTGTTGAAAACCCCAATTTTGGGTTTATTCAAGTTCCCGAGACTATTTATTTGTTTGATTTACTTGTTCATCATCTCTAGACTAGATTGTTTTCAAAACCCTAATGTCTTTGGGGTCTATTCGAGTTTCTGAAAATGCCTGTGCAATTCATCTGTTTGAAGTTGCTCGACTTGATTTGAAATTCTTTCGTTTCAGCATCTATTTCTTTATGTGATTTTGGTTTCTTGCTACCATTGAAACTCGACTATACTTTTTCAGAAGGGTCTTTCACTTGACCCTTTGCATGCTTCTGATACTCTCTCTTTTCTCTATTACCAAGTCAATGAAGTTGACCTATGTGACTATCATGTTTCGAAGGTTTGTTGTCTGTTAACTTTGTGTTGTTATTGCATGTTGCTTCTCTTTGCCATAGTTTGGCCTCGCATGTCTAATGTTTGTGCACTATATTTATATGCTGAATTTCCCTCTTGACTGATCTTCAATCTTGGACTGATTTCAAACCTTTCTTTTTGTGAAATTCTGATTTCACTCGTCTGTTAAGTTTAATTGATTCTTTTCCTTGTCTTACCTTACTGACTCTCTTCCCAAAATTAGTATATTCCTGTACTTAGACTTGATTACTTACTCAATTGTTTTACTGCTTCTTTTGTGGCAACTGCCAGTTTGTCTACAAATTGATTTCTTTTCTTATAATGAGCCTGTCATTATCCGTTAAGCGAGTGATCCCTTAATTAAAGGCAATCACTCGTATAATTGATTCTGAATAGTGATTGTTTCCAGGTTTGTGGCTTATTATTTCTCTTTCACTCGTTTTCAAAAGGCTATAAATATCATGTACTTCTCTTCTTTCAAACACGAACACTTTTAGTTTTGAACACACACTTACACTCAAAAACTCTCTCTTGCTTTACTACTACTTGTGCTACTGCCTGTTTAGCCGGCTGAAAGCCAAGGCTATACTTCGAAGTCCTGCTTACTTCTCTTTACCGCACTTTGCTTCTCTGACTGGTATGTTCTAACTAAGTTTTCAGCATCAACAATAACATGTTTCTTTACAGTCTCTTTCATTCTTGTTTGTCTCCTGTTAGTATTTAACTAATTTCCATCATTAAGCATGCTGTATTCTGCCTTTTCTGTTCTGAATTAATGGTTTTATTATTTGCTTATCATGGCTTGTGCACCTTAAATCCCCATCCCCAATGTGTTTGGTGACTGTGGTTGGTTTGGGGCATGGCATCATTGAACATTGCTGTCCATGACCCAAACTTGATCCCCCTGGGATCATAACCTCCATGTTTCCTCTGTTGTTGTGTGTTCTGGTTGGCTTATAGGCATGCCAACATCTTCTATTGTTGTGCATGCCCGAAGCTGACCCTTGCCTAAGTGCATAGGCTCTTGCAATGAATTCCCAACCCTTGACCCCCTTTGTATGAAGTTTATCCATTATGTGTTTTACTAAGTACTATTTTCCAATCACCCTTTACCTCTCTCCTTTCCCCCTCAGTTTTAAAACTCTATTCCTGCACTTCCACTATCTTCTTAGACTTAAGTTTTGCCCCTTTTATGTGAGCCTTGCCTTGGGACCCATGAGCTCCCTCTAAACTTGGACACATAAGGGATGGCCTTTTTCAACTGCACTCATCTCTATCTGATTAATGCAACTTGGGTGTGAGCACTGCCGGGGTCCTTTTGAGACCCTTAGGGAACTTTGACACACTCAAGTCTGAGAAAGGCTTTGAAGCAATGGCATCTTAAGGCAGTTTATTCCATAGCTCAGGGAGGAACCAAGAATCAGGCTTCCTCTGGTTGTATTTTATGTATTTTTGTTATGTAATTCAGTACCTCTGGTTTGTAATAATTTGTAATAAACAGCGGGGATGGCTAGTGAAAAAGGGTGGGTAATTATGCATGTTCAAGGGTAGAAAATATGCCTATAGGATTACTTTTAAATTCTGCATATTCAAAACTGCGTTTAGAAACCATGCCTATAGGGTATTTTAATTCTTCATGTTCAAACTACATTTAGAAAATATGCCTATAGGGTTACTTTTAAATTCTGCATAATCAAACTGCATTTAGAAACCATGCCTATAGGGTATTTTAATTCTGCATCTTAAAACTACATTTAGAAAGCATGCCTATAGGACTGTTTCACATCCTGCGTGATCAATTCTGCACCTTACACATCATGCCTATAGAGGTTTATTTATTCTGCAGGTTTAACTTCACACCTAGATAGCCTGCCTATAGGACTTCATTTTTTAAAACCTGCGCGCTTGTTACCACTTAGACATCATGCTTTAGGTTTTAAATGGCTATAAATTAGTACCATGTTTATAATGTTCAAAATTAAAATCAGCACACTACATATCATGTCTATAGGAGTTAAAACCAGCAATAATGGATCCTATCATCTGCAAAAAAATTGAAACTAGTCTAATTTAAAATCAGTCTATTCTGAACCAGTGCTTAAGTAACTTAATATCTCCTTGTTAACTCGATTTAGCAAGCATGCCTATAGGATTTCAAACCATTCGTTTTAAGCTATGACCACGCTCAGAATCAGTAATAGATGCATGTCCCTAAGAGTTCCCCTAAAACACTTAGGCAAGCCTTAGGCAGTAGTAATAATAAAACTGAACTCGCCTCCGTTAAGTGCTACAACCAGCAGGCAGGCCTGATTCGTGCTTCCTAACTGAGTCATTAAATATTTTTGAAACAGGAATTAAAGTAGTAGATCTTTTAGCCCCTTATCGCCGTGGAGGAAAAATCGGACTATTCGGGGGAGCTGGAGTGGGTAAAACAGTACTTATTATGGAATTGATTAACAATATTGCTAAAGCTCACGGGGGCGTATCCGTATTTGGCGGAGTGGGTGAACGTACTCGGGAAGGAAATGATCTTTACATGGAAATGAAAGAATCTGGAGTGATTAATGAAGAAAATATTGCAGAATCAAAAGTGGCCCTAGTTTACGGTCAGATGAATGAACCGCCGGGAGCTCGTATGAGAGTTGGTTTGACTGCCCTAACTATGGCGGAATATTTCCGAGATGTTAATGAACAAGACGTACTTCTATTTATTGACAATATCTTCCGTTTCGTCCAAGCAGGATCCGAAGTATCGGCCTTATTGGGTAGAATGCCTTCCGCTGTGGGTTATCAACCCACCCTGAGTACCGAAATGGGTTCTTTACAAGAAAGAATTACTTCTACCAAAGAAGGGTCCATAACCTCTATTCAAGCAGTTTATGTACCCGCAGACGATTTGACCGACCCTGCTCCTGCTACGACATTTGCACATTTAGATGCTACTACCGTACTATCAAGAGGATTGGCTGCCAAAGGTATTTATCCAGCAGTAGATCCTTTAGATTCAACGTCAACCATGCTTCAACCTCGGATCGTTGGTGAGGAACATTACGAAACCGCCCAAAGAGTTAAGCAAACTTTACAACGTTACAAAGAACTTCAGGACATTATAGCTATCCTTGGATTGGACGAATTATCCGAAGAGGATCGTTTACTCGTAGCAAGAGCGCGAAAAATTGAGCGTTTCTTATCACAACCCTTTTTCGTAGCAGAAGTATTTACCGGTTCTCCAGGGAAATATGTTGGTCTAGCAGAAACAATTCGAGGATTTCAATTGATCCTTTCCGGAGAATTAGATGGTCTTCCTGAACAGGCCTTTTATTTGGTAGGTAATATCGATGAAGCTACCGCGAAGGCTATGAACTTAGAAATGGAGAGCAATTTGAAGAAATGACCTTAAATCTTAGTGTACTGACCCCTAATCGAATTGTTTGGGATTCAGAAGTGGAAGAAATTGTTTTATCTACTAATAGCGGTCAAATTGGCATATTACCAAATCACGCCCCTATTGCCACAGCTGTAGATATAGGGATTTTGAGAATACGTCTTAACGACCAATGGTTAACGATGGCTCTGATGGGTGGTTTTGCTAGAATAGGCAATAATGAGATCACTGTTTTAGTAAATGATGCGGAGAAGGGTAGTGACATTGATCCACAAGAAGCTCAGCAAACTCTTGAACTAGCGGAAGCTAATGTGAAAAAGGCTGAAGGAAGGAGACAAAAAATTGAGGCAAATCTAGCTCTCCGACGAGCTAGAACACGGGTGGAAGCTATCAATCCGATTTCATAACTAGTTGGTACGTTCGAATAATAAAAAGAAGTTCTCTTTCTAATCCTATTTAGATTCTGTCGGGTGAATACAATCAAATACAATCAAACAGAATCCAATTCTGATGCAAAAANGAAAAAGAATCCAGAACTGACATGTCTGAAGGAATCCTACATACCCTTTGACTATTTGTATGAAAGGTACGGTCACAGCAAATCCTACCGTACCTACCCAGACGAGTTTTCCATCACATCATTAGGGCACATTCATCGAAGGGTCTTTGTATTCATGTTTTGTTTCCTGGGGTTGATCGTGTTTCCAATGAAGAAAGCAAGAATACACACCAGACTGGCTATGGTAACTAAGACCTTAATGGAAGGAATTGGCGGGCAACCATTCAGCATTGTGCCCATGATCATCGCGGAAATATACCGAGCCCTAGAGAAGTGTCAACAGGGAGCGGAACACTTTGAAGGCTGCAAGTTGCTACTTCAACTTTGGCTCATGGAGCATCTCCAAAAAGGTGAATACCGACAAAAGATTCAGCGAAAGGACTGGGATGATCATATCGCTTTCCATCATCCGAAGTGAATGAATTACATGCCCAATATGTTCTCCCAACCAGAGAATGCTAGAGAATAGGTCGAGTCTTCTAAAATCGGACTGAGGACCAGGTACAATGGATGTTTGAGTGGTTTCCGATCGAGGAGTTCATCGCCCGATCCAGAGATGCACCTTTCCTGATATTGATCGGCCTGAGAGGAACATACCCTTACGTCGCTCTCCGGGTTATGAGGCAAGCTGGTAGGAAGCAAGTTGTACCCAGGGTCGACAAGATGAGTCACTTTCGGGCTGACTTCCAGGATGATGATAGTCCTTACAAGTGCCAAGCTCAGCATATGTGGCATTGCCAGATCGTCATGGGGAGGGATACCATCGAGCCAGATAGATAGCATGCTGGTTGTGCTCCCTACTATTCGGGCTGGTTGGAGGATAATCATGATGGTCTGGGTCAGCCTGGGTTTGTTCGAGGTCGCAGGATCATAGATGAAAAAGCCGAGGCACAGGTCAAATACAACCAACTGCGCAAGAGGATCCGAGAGTGCGAAAGCGAGCACCGTGAGATACAAGAAGCCAATCAGAAGTTAATTGAGGAGTGGAAGGACATGGCTATCGGTGCCAACAAGCGACTGGGATACATTGAGCGAGGCATAGTGGAGTTGGAGAAAAAGTTTCTCAAGAGGGTCGAAGATTGCCAAAATGCTGAAGGAACCGAAGGCGGACACCTAGCCAGGGCCTACCTATTGCTGGGACTTCGCGAGTTGGGAAAGCTGTTCGATGGAGCCAGGGATGCCGAATCTAGGGAAGGTCCTTCTGGGACCAAATAGATAGGAGTTTGCCATTTCGCTTTATAATATGTAATAAGGCCAATGGCCATTAATGAATTTTATTTCTTGCTTATTTAGTGTCGTTTTGGGATTCGTCTATTTTTATCAATAAAATGAGGCATTTAGCATCCTAAGTTCTCCAAATCAACTTGTCGCTAGGCCTACCTCAGGCACAACGAGGCTCCCAAATTAGGACACGCTTTATATTTCCGCACTATGTGTTTAAATATTGCAACATTTTTTTTATGATCCTCACTAACTTGGTTACCTTTTTGTTTTATTTTTGTTTTATTATTCCCCTCCGCAAAGGTTAGTTTGAGCACTCTGGCAACATAATCCTATTCCACAAGATCCAAAGGCCCTCCATCTACTCCTCCTCTTAGTCCTGTCAAAAACAAGAACAAAGGGTGGATGGAAGATTTGAACAACGCCAGAAAGGAGAGTTCAACTGAACGGGTAGAGGTCACTCATGGTCATGGTACTCAGGTTTCCAAGGAAAATGCATCCCAGCTCGAACAAAAGTTGTTGAGATTCCAAGAAGAGCTTGATCATGTTCGGAACCTGGCCAACCTATCCTTCTCCCTCAGCACCCCAGACACCATCTTCCCCAACAGCCAAAATCCCACACCTCCACAAGAGCAACCAAATCTTCCCACCATTGAAACAAAGAATCAATGCAACACTTGCGGCACTCCAAACAACAATCCGTTACTCATCCCCAAACCACAAAACTCCGCAAATGATCACTTCCACACCCACAACAACCCCATTTACATGGAGACCGTGCCACTCTCTGCCCAACCTGTATCCTGCACCCCTGAGTCTGAGGAGAAGGATTCACTCATCAGGAATTTGGCTGAAGAGCTTAAGAAATTTACTAGCCGAATCCAAGGTGTCGAGGGAAGTAAATGTATTGAAGGGTTGAACTATGAAGATCTCTGCATACAACCAGATGTTGAACTGCCAGAGGGGTACAAACCTCCCAAGTTCGAGATGTTTGACGGTACAGGTGATCCTAGGGTCCATATAAGAACATACTGCGACAAGCTGGTCGGAGTAGGAAAGGACGAATGGATCCGCATGAAACTATTCATGAGGAGTCTAAAGGGAGATGCACTATCCTGGTACATCAGCAAGGATCCTAAGAAGTGGTCAAATTAAGTAGGAATGGCCTCTGATTTCATGGACAGGTTCAGGTTCAATACAGAGAATGCGCCAGATGTATTCTACATTCAGAATCTGAAGAAGAAGCCTACACAAAAATTTCGCGAGTATGCTACTCGCTGGAGGTCGGAAGCCGCTAAGGTTAGACCTGCCTTAGAGGAGGAACAGATGAACAAATTCTTTGTCTGGGCTCAGGACCCGCAGTATTATGAACAGCTAATGTTGATTGAAAATCACAAGTTTTCCGACATCATCAAGCTGGGAGAGCGAATTGAAGAATGTATCAAAAGCGGCATGGTTACAAACTTCGAGGCCTTGCAAGCCACAAATAAGGCCTTGCAGTCTGGTGGTGTGTCTAAGAAGAGAGACGTAGGGGCCGTAATGGTTGCACAAAGGACCAAGTGTCCCCTCAAATACCAAACCTGCCCTATACCTCCACTCATATATCAGTCAACTCCAAACTACCAAGTACCCTCCTACCAAGCCCCAACACCAACTTATCAGTCACCTCCACCTCCCACATATCAGCCTACCTCGCCCAGATATTCCCAACCCACACATGTATACCAAGCCTACAATGCCCAACCATCTCATTACCAATCACCTCCCACACGCCAAAACTTTCCTTGGCCCCGACCTAACTTTGATCAGAGACCCCCAAAACAATACATAGCCATTGCCGAACCCATTGATCACCTATATGAGAGACTCAAAACCACCGGTTATGTCACCCCCATCCCTGCTTCAACCCCTGAGAACCCTTCACAGTGGGTTAACCCAAACAAATCTTGTGCATACCATTCTGGCATGAAGGGACACACCATCGACGAATGTCGTTCTTTAAAGGACAGGATACAGTCCTTAATTGATAACAAGGTCATTGTAGTAAAGGAAGCCGCTCCAAATGTTCGCAACAACCCCTTACCAGATCACAAGGGCGGGGGTGTTCACATGATTGAAATAGAGGATGATTGGGATCCCGAGGGATACATTAGGTTGATCACAGAAGGCGATGATCCAAAGAAGCCAGCAGATACTCTTAACCCCATCATGGTCCATATTCAACCATCCAAGGTCACTGAGGTAGACGTGTCTATCCCGCTTGAGTTTGAGGCAGCACCATCGGCCAAAGCACCGGCACCGTTTGAGGTTACAATTTTACCACCCAAGGAGCATGTCCCATTTGAAGTAAAGGTAGCCGCACCAATTCCAGTGGCGATGACCACCATGCCATCATTCCATACAAAATATATCCCTTGGTATTATACGGCCGAGGTTAGGAGGAAAGGCAAAGTCAGGTTCGAAGAGACTATTGCAGCACAGGGTATGACAAGGACTAGAAGAGTCTATACCCCGGAGCACTTAGTTGAGTCAAGTAAGCAAGCTTCCAACCCGCCACTCATCATTGAAACAGGCCCAGATGACCTTTGGAGGAAGATACAGGCCAAGGAGTAGTCAGTCATTGACCAGCTAAACAAAACACCAGCGCAGATATCTATCCTCTCTTTGTTGCAGAACTCCAAGACACACAAAAATGCTCTGTTGAAGGTGCTGAGTGAGGCATACGTACCGAGTAACATCACTGGCAGAGAAATGGCCAATATGGTGGGACAAGTGTTAGAAAGCCACAAAATCACTTTCTACGAGGACGAGCTGCCGCCTGAGGGCTGGGTCATAACAAAGCATTGCATATCACCGTGCAATGTGAAGACTACTTCATCACCAGGATTCTGATTGATGGGGGATCCAGCCTTAATATATGTCCATTGATAACATTCAAGAAGCTGGGTAAAGGACTGCACGAGATAAAAGAGGGAGCAATTAATGTGAAAGCTTTTGATGGGTCCCAGAGGTCCACCATCGGTGAAATTAGCCTGAGTGTTCAAATGGGACCAACTTGGTTCGAGGTTGACTTTCAAGTGATAGATGTGCCAGCATCCTACAACCTGCTGTTACGACGCCCTTGGATTCATTCTACGGGGGTTGTGGCTTCAACACTGTATCAAGCCGTGAAATTTGAATGGAATCACCAGGAAGTGATCATTCACGGTGACGGCAGCAATCCTATATACAGTCGTCAGACCATTCCGGCAATAGGGGGAAGAAGAAAGTTGGGTGGAGAGACCTACCACCACATCGAGCGAGTCAATGTTATTGA